ACCAAGTCGCCAGTTCTCATCTTCCAGCTCCCCAGCTACTCCGCGTATTAAATTTGTACTACAAAGTCGCCAGTTCTCAGTTGTCGGCTTCCAGCTCCACAGATTGCTCCGCGTACTAAAGTTGTACTAGAAACTCGCCAGTTCTCAGCTTCCAGCTCCACAGCTACTCCGCGTACTAAAGTTGTACTACAAAGTCGCCAGTTCTCAGCTTCCAGCTCCACAGATTGCTCTGTACTAGAAAGTCGCCAGTTCTCAGCTTCCAGCTCCCCGGCTACTCCGCGTACCCCAGCTATTCCGCGTACTACAGTTGTACTACAAAGTCCCCAGTGCTCATCTCCCAGCTCCCCAGATACTCCACGCCTCGACGCGCACGCTCTCCGCAGAGGGTTGTGCGGGCACCCGCCAAATCGCACTCTCGCCTGCATTTCGCGCACTCGACGCACGATCTCCGCAGAGGGTTGCGCGGGCAGCCGGCGAATCGCACTCTCGCCTGCATTTCGCGCACTCGACACGCACGATCTCCGCAGAGGGTTGCGCGGGCACCCGGCGAATCGCACTCTCGCCTGCATTTCGCGCACTCGACACGCACGATCTCCGCAGAGGGTTGCGCGGGCACCCGGCAAATCGCACTCTCGCCTGCGTTTCGCGCACTCGACACGCGCGATCTCCGCAGACTTAAAGGATCTGTTTTTTACTAACTAGTTATCATAATTAAGATAAATAGATAACTTTTGTTAACTAGTTATAACTAGTTAGCATCTCAATTTTTTTCAAAAGGCAAACATTGTTTTTTTCAATCAGCTTCTACAAAAAAAGACATGCAACACAACAAACCCAATGCACCACAGGCTATCGCAGCCATCAGCCAACAGCCTTTCAAAAGTTTCTGCTATAGCCATCAACAACAAACATCCTGTCCATAGCCCAGAACATATGTCAGCCAACAGCCAACAGGCTTTCAATAGCCAAAGGGCTTTGTTCACAGCCAGCAGGCTTCTTCCCATAGCCAACAGGCTTGCTGAGGCAGCCAACAGGCTTCAAACAAAAAGCCAACAGGCTTCAAACAAACCCATCCAGCGACAAAACCATCACACCAACACATTTTTTCACCTTCCATGCAGGTCATGTGCAAAGATGGCAAAGGGCAGCAGGATGGTGACATTCTCCCTGTTTGCTTGTGCATATGCAACTGGTGTCAACAAGTCGGCTGCCTCTATCAAGCCCATGTTTTCTGTTGCTTTGCAAACTACATGCTGCTGCCCAGGTTTGTATTGCTCCACCAGTGTCCACATTTTCAACACTGTCCAACATGTTTCATGCATTTGGAAGTGGAGCAACACCTGCCCTACATTGAACTGCATGGTGCTGGACACACTTGTATACAAAACAACATCTCCTTTACTCACTCTGCATCCACTGTCAAGTTTGGCCTCCAGACTGGTGGTTGCCTGGCTAATGTCTTCCCCTAAGATGTCTGACAGCCATTGGAGGCACCTCTTGGAAGCATTGCAAGGCTGCGTCAGGTGGACCCCCCTCTGTGAAGCAACCTGGTTGCTGCAAGACAGAAACCTCCTGTGCAACAACCTGTTCCAGCAAACTCCTTTCATAAGCGCGTGTGTATTTCATAGGAGTTGCATACTTTGTAATTGCTTTATGCTTTCGCTCAGCAGTAAAGCAACTTGGGAGCATCTGGTGTCTTCCATATTCATCAGCCAGATGCAAGAGCCAATGAAACTTTTTCACCCAACCCTTGTCAAAGTCAGCCTTGCCAAAGCTGGCCAAGCACTTCTCTACTCTTGCAAGCAAAGAATCCCTTGTGACCATGCCAGCAGGAATCCCAGAATGCAGCAAATCCAGGACAGAGCCTGAATTGACTTGAAAGAACAAATAATGCAGCCAACTGGCTTTGGTTTGTGCACAGCACAGCATAACATGCAACAGGCTTCAAGAAGAAACTGTTTGAGATTGCAAAACAATCCAACAGGCTAAAGACTAAATAGCCAACAGGCTTCAACAAGAAACTGTTTGAGATTGCAAAACAAAGCCAACAGGCTAAAGATTAAATGGCTTCAACAAGAAACTGTTTGAGATTGCAAAAGGAAGCCAACAGGCTTGAGCTAAAATAGCCAACAGGCTTTTCTGAAAAAAAGGGACCTATTTATATCAAAGCCAACAGGCTGCAGTGGACAGCAGCACCTTTTTTCTGGTCCCGCCACTTTGTGGTCACCATTGAGTCACCAGGGCCTGTTAGGATCACGCCCATACTGCTGCAGCTGCCTGTTGTGCTGGTCCACAAGGTCGCCCATAGTCTGCTGCTGGTCCCTGCAGGGATCAAGTGTGATGTGGTGAAGCAACATGAGACCACAAAACCAAAGGTTGCAACACCAATCACCACAACACTGGAAAACTATAGAACATATATGTTTATTTTCCCAAGTGCCTTCCAACTGTGAATCTCCTGTACCTGGGTAGTACCCAATGGATTTCCAAGAAACAGGTAAACCACAGAAAAGAACCAAAGAAAACAGAACAAAAGCAAACCTTTATTGAACCAAAGAAGGATGCTGAAGGCAGAGGCGGTTCATCTCCCTCCAGTCTTGTCGCTCCCAGGCAGCAATCAAACTCACAGCCCTGTTTGCCCAACCCATTCTCTTGTGAAGGTCGGTTTTGCTGCTTCCCATAGCCTTTACCTTTTCCTTCTCCCTTTTGAGGTGGTGGGCCAGCAGGTTCTGCAGGTCGAAGTCTGCTTGTAGGCACTGCTTCATCTGGAGGTGGAACAGGAGCTTGGTCACT